GCTTTTACGATTCGCTAGACGGGTCGCCGAGATCTCTTTCTTGCCCATAAAAGCCCCCCTCCCAACGCACCCTTTGCCACATAAGCGATTTTAAATATATAGATACACACACATATATATATATATATATATTTTGGGGGAAATCTCGCCTAGAGATGGCCCCCCCGCCAGCCGCTGCGCTCCAGCCGCCCTTCTCCAAAGATACAAATAAACTGGCTTGTGCTAAAAAGGGGTGTGCGTGCTTGCAGCTGTGTGTGTGTGTGTGTGTGAGAGAGAGAGATAAGATCTATAGGGAGAAAAACGGGAGAAGGTGGACGGGGTGGGGGAGGCAAGTTGCGACCCTGTGTGCAAGTTTGGACGCCCCCCCTCCCCTCCCTCCTTACATAACTTACCTCCAAAGCTGCGCGTAGGAATCCTCAAGTCCTCCTCGTACCCCTCATCTTTTGGGAGTCAGGAGGGGGGGGAGAGCGAGGGGAAAAGGGGGGAAAGAGAGGGAGGGAGCGCGAGAGCGAGCGAGAGCGAGGCTCTCCGAGGTCCACCCCGTCTCCTTCAGTGTCTTATCCAAAAGGAGGAGGGAAGTGGCAGCGCCGAGCAGGCAGAGGGGGTACCAACTCTGATGCCAGACCATATGGCTGGCACGTCATCCGCCGGAGTTATCACATGAGCTGCGCTGATTGACATGCGCCCGCATGTAGGGGGATCTGGCTCTCTGGGGAAAGCGGGCCCACCATCTGTCACTACCCTCGACTCTTCAAAAAGAGAGAGAGGAGAGAGAAAGAGAGAGAGAGAGAGAGAGAAAGACAGAAAGAAGAAAGAAAGAAAGAAAGAAAGAAAGAAAGCGGTCACAGCTCCTACACTCCAGACCTACCTAACAGGGTCTGAGAAGATGAAGGGCGATGGGAAACCAGCAGCAAGGGAAACAATAGGGAGAAAGAGAGAGAGAGAGAGAGATGGTATGTGGGATTGGTCGGCTGCAAAATCGCCCAGGAGGAAGAGATGTCAGAGACCTGAGCGCCTCCTGTTAAAAAGGATCCCTCCTTGCAACGCGGGGTGGGGGGCGTGTACACAGGCTTGCCCATACGCATTCACACAGGCTCAGCAGCAGAAGGATCCCCCCCCGCCAGTTCTTCACACACGATCTACACACAAATGATATATATATATATATTTAAAGGAACCAGGGTTGTCTTTTTATTTTCATTATTTCAGAGAGGGAAAGGGATTCCCCCCCCCCCTGCTGAGGGGCAGGAGGGTGCCCCTTCCTCGCCTCAGCTGGGAGGCCAAGGTGGAAGGGTTGAAGAAGGCCCAGACCCTCCAGGGGACTTACAGATGAGCTGCCGGGGAATTCTCCAGGTCAAGGGCTTCTTTGCAACCAGGTCCACTCTTGTGCAGCCCCAGGCCTGTAGTTAGGATTTTTTTAAATGTCTGGGGGCATTTAAATTTCTCAGGGGGCACTGGCTAATCAAATTAATCTGGGGAGGAAGGCCTTGACGCTCTGGGCTGGATGGGGAGTCGGGGGGGCCTTATCAGCAAATCAGGGGGCCTAGCCCCGAGATGCCCCACTGTAGCTACGGGCCTGTGCAGCCCCCATTCTTTTGGAAAGGGGCTCTGGGGAGGGGCCAGGGCCAGGTGGGAGGGCCCCAAGGCATCGGATCTCTCTCTCTGCCATTGCCAGTGGTGCCGGCCTCCACCACCTCAGGCAGCCCCTCCCTCTGCTCACTGCCAGAGGCACCAGGAGATTGCCTGCCTGCCTGCCTGCCTGCCTGCCTGCCTGCCTGCCTGTCCGTCCTGACCTGTATGGCCCAGGAGAGCCCCATCTCATCCGATCTCAGGAGCTGAGCAAGGTCAGCCCAGGTTAGTACTTGGATGGGAGACCTCCAAGGAAGCCCAGGGTTGCTACACAGAGGCAGGCAATGGCACACCCCCTCTGAATGTCTCTTGCCTTGAAAACCCCACTGGGGGGGGTGTCACCACAAGTCGTTTGTGACTTGATGGCACTTCCCACCACTGTCTGCCTGTCTGACTGTCTACTCGATTTTGATTCTGCCACCCCCACCCTCACAACAACCCTGTAAGGCAGTTTCAATCAGACAGCACGGCAAGGCGATGGTCACCCCGTGAACATCGCGGGAGGAAGGGTATTTGAAACGAGTTCTTCTGGATCCTAGTCCAACACTCTGTCTCAAGTGGGCATCCTTGGCGTTTTGAGAAAAGGTCGATGGGCACTGCCCTGACCCGGATAGCCCAGGCTAGCCTAATATCGTCAGATCTTGGAAGCTCACCGGGTCGGCCCTGGTTAGTAACTGGATGGGAGATCTCCAAGGAACACCAGAGTTGTGACACGGAGGTGTAGTTTGGTGTCGTGGTTAGCTGTGTGGACTCTGATCTGGGAGAACCGGGTTTGATTCCCCACTCCTCCACTTGCAGCTGCTGGATGACCTTGGGCAAGCCATAGTTTTGACAAGAGCTGTCCTTGAAAAGGCAACTTCTGTCAGAGCTCTCTCAGCCCCGCCTACCTCACAGGGTGTGTCTGTTGTGGGGAGGGGAAGGGAATGGAGTTTGTAAGCCGCTCTGAGACTCCAAGTGAAGGGCGGGGTATAAATCCTCTCCTCCTCCTCTTCTATGGAGGCAGGCAATGGGAAACCACCTCTGAATGTCTCTTGCCTTACAAAACCCACGGGGTTGCCATAAGTCAGCTGGGACGATGTCAAAAGAGGTGGGGCACCACTACTAGTGGCTCCCAACTAGGGGAGTGGGGACCAGGCATAAAATGTTGGAAGGACCGAAGCTGTACTGGCTTGCAGGCTCCTAGTATCAGGTGCCAGAAGTCAGACAAAGCAGAGGCATTCAGTCCAAGGTCAGAGGTCCAGAAGCCAGGCAAGGCAGAGCTGGTGGCTTAGTATCTATCGTACACATTGTGTTCATGCCTAACAGCCTTTCTTGGCTGGTTTTATAGCCCCATGCCTAAGGGTCATGCTTGCAACCAGTTGTTCAGAACAATCCTTCAACTACTCATCTTTGTTATCAGCAAGCAGCTGGCATTGGGCCAGGAGGCATGCACTTT